CTTAATCATCTCTCCAAATTAAAGTGCCTTTTTGAAGAATAGGAAAATTGTGAATCAAATCCTAATTGCAAATGAGAGCATAAAAGGCTTAAAAAGAAGTGGAAAGAAAGGGTTGGTGTGTAAATTGGATCTCGAAAAGACATATGATTTGGTGGATTGGTCGTTCTTATTGAAAGTCCTAAAGTCTTTTAGGTTTCAACAGAAATGGTGCAGTTGAGCGAAAGGATGTATTAGGGCATACCACTATCCTATATTGGTGAATGGTAAGATGGTAGATCACTTCCTGGCTATTAGTTGTATTAGGCAAGGGGACCCTCTTTCTCCTTTCCTATTTACCCTAATTGTTGAAATCTTAGGGAAGCTCATTGAGAGGGCAGATTTTAGAAACTTGGTGAAAGGTTGGAGAATAGGGAGGGATAGGGTCCCAGTAACCAATTTATAATTTGCTGATGACACAATTCTTTTTCTGTGACGGGAACAAGGTAAGTTGGGTTAGTAATTTAAAGCTAGTGATCAATGTATTTGAACAAATGACTAACATCAAAGTTAATTTTGATAAGAGTTGTGTGATTGGCATTAATTTGAGTGATAGAGAAGTGGAGGAAAGGGCCCAAATTTTGGGTTACGAGATTGCCCAATGGTCACTGAACTATTTGGGGCTGCCAGTAAGGGATAACCCAAGTAGAAGGAGCTTTTGGAAACCGATGATTGACAAATTCACAAAGAGGTTAGCCTCTTGGAAGAAAAATTACCTCTCTCTGGGTGGCAAGATAATAATGATCAAGTCAACATTGGCTAACCTACTTGTTTACTTTTTTTTCTATGTTTAAAATCCTTGAAGGAGTATGCGGGACTTTGAAAAAGTTAATGAGAGATTTCTTATGGGAACCAAGGGAGGAGAAAAGAGATCGTAGAGTCAGGTGGGATATAGTTACCAAAACCAAAAGTGATGGTGGGCTTGCATTAAGTAATCTATAGAAAAAGGACGAAGCTCTATTGGGGAAATGGCTTTGGAGATTGACTTTGGAGATGGGCTCAAATAGTTTTCAATGTTAATGGGCAAGCGACAGATGGTTGGGACATGGGAGTATCATCTAGGACTACAAGAGCTTCTCCTTGGAAATTTATTCATGCCATGCTTCTTTCCTTCTTTTAATCAAATACAACCTTTGCTCTAGTAACCTTGTGAAATTTTAAGAATATATTTGGGTGGGAAGCACACCGTTGAAAGAGCTAATCCCCTCCTTGTATTTCCTTTCGATAATTAAAAATGAGCAAGTCTCCACCTTTTTGACCATTTCTAATTCTATTGTTGATTGGAACTTAGGTTTTAGAAGGGCCCTTAAAGACTCTGAATTGAACCTTATTTCTAACCTGCTCAAAATCCTGGATGAGGTGGGTATTAATCCCTCTAGGAGGGACAATAGGATTTGGGTTCATTTTCCCTCGGATGTTTTTTCTTGCTCTTCCCTTTTCAAAGAATTAGCTCATTCCTCACCTATTTTTGGACACCCATTCCCGATTTTGGAAGTTTGGGGCAGACCAATCCCTCCTAGAATTAGTGTTTTTTATTGTGAAGCCTTCTTAGAAAAGTGTAACAGTTGCAATTTACTTCAAAGAAAAAGGCCTAATTGGTGTTTATCCCCACACTGGTGCATCCTTTGTAAGGAGAATAGTGAGACTTGTCATCACTTACTGATATCTTGCTCATTTATTTCAAAGATCTAGTGTTGGTTTTCCTCTCTTTTTGGTTGCAAGTGGACCCCTCCTTCAAATGTGCAAAGTTTGTTTCATTCTACTTCAGTTAGGGAGTTAAAAAAGAGAGGGAAAATCTTGTGGAGATGCATAAGAGCAGCTATCTATTGGACAGATTGGGAGGAAAGAAATCAAATGACCTTTCATGGGAAAGAAAGAAATAAGGATGCCATCATTGAATTAATTTCTATTAGGATGACTCATTGGGCTAAGACTATGAAGCTTTTTGAAGACAATTCGGAAGGAGACATTATCAAGAATTTGAAAGATGTGGTGTGGTCAACTCCAACAAAGACTTCATCTAACCCAATTTGGTCTCCTCTAGCTTAGGGATTCACTAAACTGAACTTTGATGGTAGCAATGAAGGAAATCCAGGCCCGTTAGGTATAAGAGGGGTTTTTAAGGATGAAAAGGTTGAATTATTGCCATGTATTCTGGTTCTATTGGATGGGGGATTCTCTAAGAGCTGAAATATTGGCTGCTTTGGAAGGAGTAAAAAGAGCCTAGAAGCTAAATATCAGAAAACTTATGGTGGAAGGTGATTCTAAAGTTGGTTATCAGTTGGCTATAGAATGACGATTTCAGTTTGTGGAAATATCTAAATGACAAAAAGAAAGTTAAATAGTTTACTCAAAACATGGAAATCAAGTTTCAGAGGACTAAGAGGAGTGCCAATTCCTTTGCAGATTAACTAGCCAAACAAGGGGTGGGAATAGTCAATCTATTCTGGACAGTATTGTAAATTTAAATGTACCTTTAGGGAGGGTTAAGAGATTTTACCCCTCCCCTTGTATCTTTTTCTCTTAATATCTATTAATGAAAGTTTATGTTAATTATAAAAAAAAATATAAATTATATATCGTTACTTATCTTACTTCTCATATTTCTTAGTTACTCAAAAATTTGTAAGACATTAGTTTAATGATATTTTATACCATTTTTAAAATCTTTCATACTCCTCAAAAACTTCCTTTGTTAGTTGGTATGTGCACAAGATTTGTTTTACCAAATTCTAGTTAACCCATGCATTATATCGATTCAATTAAGGTTTTAAATATCGATGTGATACACTGGTATCCGTCATGAGTAATATGGGATATTTATTCCAAATAGAAGTGTATCTTGTGAGTCGTGCATAACGACACCTGTATCACATTGTATTGGCCAATACGCAATGATATGCCAAATCTCTCTATTTAAAAACCAAGCATATAGGTGATTCAATAGATTTGRTGGATTATCAATAGAATTGTATATCTATGCATCCCATCATATTAATTGTAATGTATCTTTTCATATACACCATTAAAATATACATTTCCTATCTATTTATACACTATTTGTGACTATTTGGTCTTAAATTTAGTATTACCAATGTATTTATGGAATTTGTACACATTTCCCTAATGCATCCAAGAGCTTCCATAATTTTTATCCATATCCATGCATTTTCAAAGTGTTTGTATATGTATCCATATCCGAGTTATCCGATACAATACCTGCTACCGATACTTTAATAATTGGGTTAAATCACTAGTTCATTATAAACCACATATGATAGGGTAGTTGAATGCCTCTCCTTTGTATAATACAATATTTTTCTTTCCAACTAATTTAGTATTGGTGAAAGTGCAATAATTACATTAATAGGTATATTGCTATCGATGAACTCTGAATGTAAAGAATGTTATTATGAATTCTAAATTATGATTTCTAAAAATTGTTAAATGTCCATTTTAACCCTATATATGAGACTTTGTTTGTCTATGTAATTCAATAAAGAAACAATATTAAAAATAATGACATTTTAATAGTACATTATAATTAATAATTTATTATTATAACATATTATAATTAATATTATAATATTATACTATATTATATTATCAATTTTATAATATTATACTATCATAATATTATTACCATTATAATAACATTATGTTACAATATTATATTAATATTATAATAACATTAATAATTTATTATTTTTATTATTAATTATTAGTTATTAATAATCAATAATTAATTAAATAAATATAAAATGATTAAGAATAATAAATTGATAAAAATTGTAAATAATTAAATATTTTTAAAGAGCTTAGAATTTACTAATTAATGAATAAATAATAATTATTATTAGATGTTTAAAATAAATAGTTAAATCATAATTTCAATAAACATATAATTAGCAATCATTACTACTTTATAATTTATAATTAATTATAAAATAGTTAAGTAATTAATTAATTATAAGTAAAAGTTAATAAAAGTAATTATTAAATAATTAACTAAAAATTAAATACTAATTACATAATTGAGTAATTAATTATTTTTCTTAATAATAATAAATAAAATATTTAATTATTATTATTATTAATATTAATATTATTATTATTATTTTGTGTTTTGGGGATATCATTGGAAAACAAAATAAAATTTGCTACTAACAAAAAGTTACAAGATTCCTCTTTAAGAGATAAAAAGTGAGAGGAAACAAACGCCCATTTTCCTCTTAAAGTTGTAAGATTTCTCTTGAGAGATAAGAGTTAGAAGAAACGAACAAGCCCTTACTCTAGCATTAAAAAACAATTCTTCTAATCAGCCCAAGATTCTCAAATTTTCTTTGTTGTTCCTTCTTTACTCCTAGTATTTTAAAAGAATAAACCTGTTAGAGAATAAAAACCTATTCAGGGACCTCACCTAATAGCTTAAGTTTTTAGGTTAAATGGTTCTTTAAGATGGTATTATTCAATCCTCACGGCTCCCCATTAAGCTTAAGCTTTTAGGTTGAACTGTTCTTTGAGGGTGAGGTCCCTGAATAGGTTTTTATTCTTTAACAAACCCTAATGTTGAATCAACTCCAAGACCTAGATTGAACACAATTAAAAACGTAGTCCATAAATACATAAAATAAATATATACATAAATAACTGTGCCTACAACAAATTAAATTAAAAACCAATAATGTAATGATATTTTTTCATTCATAAAGGAGAACCCATAAAAAAGAAAGGTCACTTCGACTTGACCGGTTTATAATATGTAGTCTACAACTTATTGTGAACAAAAAAAGGAATCCCAATACAACTAATACATTTAAAAGAGAATTCTTTTAATAAATTTAAAAGAGAAAATTAAGTATAGTGCAAGTTTTTTCATGTTGCTTATAATTTATTTAAGAAAGGAACTTGAATGCTAAGAAGTGAGTACTTCAAATAGGATGTACTCATGTGCCTGTGATAAATTACTTGAATAATGGGGTGGTTTATATTTCCTACATAGCAGTTGAACAAGATAATTTACATTTTAAAGTACCATTTTCACTTGTAGAACAGCTCATTTCTTTCTAAAATTACAAATGTAAAAAATATGGAACCCCATAGTTCAGGAATGGCAAGCATGAGAACTGTAGCTTAGGATGAAAGGAAAGCATGACTTTTTTCTTTCTTTTACAATTATGATTTAGATCTAAACAAATTCATATAAAGAACTAAGGAAAGAATGTACAAAGGATAGAGGCTTCACTTTTCATGATTGTCTGCAGACACGTCTATCTTGACTATGAGAGGTTGGTGAAGATCCATTGGTGGATCAGCTACAATGGGCAACTGTGGCGAGGCTAAAACACCCTCTATCTCTAAGTTTTCAGCAAGTGCTTTGTCTAAAGATGCCTTCGCAACTTTTGTTACAGCCACCATCAGAACCACTGGAAAAAAACGAAAGAGTTTTAATAATTGTAAATAAAAATAGTTAAAAGACGTGGTGTATGAGTGTAGCTTGTTTATCTTAAAACATATAAGGTAGCATAAAAGGGCTTTGCTCTATTAATGAGCAATCTGAGTTGCAAATTTGTTTCCTGTCTTTCTCCTAAACCTTTTATTTAACAACTTTGTAAATAATGATAGACTAAGATACTTACCAATCTTTAAAGACAAGACCCCAAAAGCTCATTATATCGGAAGATCTTCCTAAAAAGACTTGCAAAACAGCACCTATGTAAATAAATCCTTACTAAGTGTAAGAGAATGGACTCGCATATCTACATTGTAACGTAGAAGAATATCCTGAACTGTGGACACAGACAAACATACTCATCTCTAAGAAAGCCAAGGTTATTTAACGCAGCATTTCAGTAAAGGCCGGACCACTAACCGCGGATGGCCACTATAGTAATTGATAAACTGTGACACCTGTGGAAGAAGCCCATGCAGGCCCATAGATAGAAAAGCAATAAGCATCAAACAACACATGCGCTCAATGCTCTGCAAAAGCTTCCAGCTTATGACAAATGGTAAGATCATGAAAGGGTGGCAACGACAGCTTGCACAGGCCAATAGTTGGTCCCACTTTGCAATTCGACACGTGTCCCCATCAAATCAGCCTAGGGATATGAGTTTTTTTTTTTTTGAAAAAAGGTAAGGTAAATTTATTAACTGAAACAGAACCATACAAATAAGCCCCCAAAAAGGAGCAAAAACTGGGAACAGACTCCCAGCTTACATTACAACTCAAATACACTTCTGGACTTCAACTGAGTTCCAAATACCCTAGGCTGGAAGCCTTTCACACCTGCAGTCCATGACACTAATTTTCCCACGGCACARGAGATAAGACAGTCTACATCCTTAGCTTTATTTTGAAAGATTMTTCTGTTTCTCTCCATCCAGATGGAACTGATCACAGCTGCAGGGATAGCCCACCACACACTTCTAGTTGGCTTAGAGAGACCTTGCAGGTCCCAGCTTCAAAACACAGAGGCGTGACGCGAGACGTTCCACTACCTAGAGGTGTGAGGCGTAGTTCAGAACGTAAGAGGCATAAGCCTCCCAAACACAAAGAGGTGTAAGCCTACTTAAGAGGAGGGGGATGAGGAGGAAGGAGGAGGGAGAAGAGGAAGGAGGATCTCATTTTTCTTTATTTTTAATAAAAATATTTTATATTAAGAAGAATGAAGATGCATATCACTAGTTAAAAGGAGGGGTCTTGTCGAAGTGGAGGTGAAAGAGCCGGAGTCGAGCAAGACCCCCCTAACACAAAAAAACCAAATTGAGCTGCATTGAAAAGGGAGGCTGGGGGGCTGGGGGCTTAGTCCCCAGCTCACTTTCTTTCCCCTTGTCTTTTCTTTCCTTCCCTTTCCTTTTCTTTTATTTCTTTCCCTTCCCTTTCTTTCCTTTCCTTTCCTTTCCTTTTTTTTTCTTTTTTCTTTTTTTTTCTATCTTTTTACATGGGGTGTGCATGAGGCGCATGAGGCGTATGCCTCTAGCACACCTCATGAAAAAAGTGTACGAGGCGTACACCTCTTGCACCTAAGGCGTATGTCGTACGCCTCAGAGGTGTCAGCGCCTCTGGCATACACCTCAGGGTGTTTTGGGGGCGCCTCGCCTGGAGGCACGGCGTACACCTCCCACACCTTTTAAAACACTGGTTTGAAGTTGTGTCAGGTCTTAAAGTGAATTTGGGAAAAAGTGTAATTTTTCCTATAGGGCAAGTTAACAATTTGGAGGTTTTTCTGAGAGTATTGGTGTGCCAAGTGAATTATCTCCCAGGAAAATATTTGGGGATTTCCTCTTGGGGAAAATGTAATTCCAGTTCTATTTGGGATCCAGTTGTGGAGAGAATGGAAAAGAAGCTGGCCTCATGGAAGGCAAAATACCTCTCCTTGGGGGGGGGTAGAGTGATTCTTAGAAAAAGCACTTTGTCGAACTCGAACCTTTCCACTTATTTTCTTTCCCTCTTTCCCATCCCCTCCAAAATATCCAAGAAATAAGAATTTCTTTAGAGAAACTTTCTGTGGAGGGGCTGGGAAGAGGAAAGGAAAATCCATCCTGCAAACCGGGATCAGGTCTGCTTGCTAGTGGAGGAAGGGGGATTGGGAATAAGGAAATTAAAGGTTTTTAATTCTGCTCTCCTGAGCAAGTGGCTTTGGACATTCAAGTCGGAAAGGGATGCTTGGTGGAGGACACTAATAGCTTCAAAATATGGTGTGGATTGGGGCAACTAGAAATCTTTGGATCCCTTTCAAGTCTGGGGGTGCCATTTGTGGAAGGGTATCATGAAGGCCTTCCCTGCCTTCTCAGAAGACTGGAATACAAAATTGGGGGTGGAAATAGGTTGAGATTTTGGAAAGACCCCTGGTGCTTAGATATTCCTCTTGCTGGGGTTTTTCCTGATCTCTTTCAGTGTTCCCTTAGTACTGATGCTTCAGTTGCTGAGTCCTATGATTTGTCAGAAATTTCAGTTACTTGGTACCCTCTCTTTAGATGAAATCTCTTTGATTGGGAATTGGACCAGTTGTTGGAGTTGTTGCAAAGACAGGTAGAAATGGAGTGGAGATGGTTTCTTTTCAGTCAAGTCCATGGCTTCTAAACTGAGTAAAGGCAACATTATTGGCTTTCCCAGTAAACAGGTGTGGAATCCAATTAGCCCTTCCAAATCCAACTTTCTTGTCTGGGTGCTGGCTTTAAATAAATGCTTGTCGAGAGTCAATTTGGATAGGTGTGGAGTTCAGACTTCAGACTTGAACCGTGGCTTATGTGGGCTCCTGCCTGAGACTGTGGACCATCTCAGCATTCACTGCTCTGTCTCTGCTAAAGTTTTGGGAGCATTTCCTCAAGGCGGCAGGTGTAAATTGGGCCATGTCTGGTTCTATCAAGGAGTTATTGTGCTGTTGGAAGCTGCCTGGTCTGAGGAAGAAGGGGAAACTGGTCTGGAAAACAATTCCTGCAGTTGTTTTAGTGCCTTTATGGCCACAGAGAAATAACCGGATTTTCTGTAACAAACAGATTCTGAAGACCTAATTCAGGTTGCAGTGAATAGACTTGCTTCTTGGTTATCTGTTGCACCAGAATGCTTTTCAGTTGCTTTGCTCTAATTCTGTATGGGATTTGTAAGTTGGCTTTCTCCTTGGTGAGGTCCACTGGGTAGCTGTTGTAACATTTCCATCTGTTATCAATAAAAGTTCTTACCTTACCTTTCAAAAAAACAGAAATATAGGAGAGAGAAGAGAGAAAGGAGAAAGGAGAGAGAAAAAGAGAGAAGAATAAAGAAGAGAGAGAGAGAGAAAGAGTTTAGAAGAGGAGAAGAAATAGGCAATGGGAAGGAGAAAGCAAGTATATGAGAGAGCAAAGAGAGAGGAGAGAGAAAAGTGGAGAGAATTTTGGAAGGAGAGAGGAGAAAAATATGAAGGGACAAGGAGAAAGAAAAAAGAGAGAATTTGTAGGAGACTAGAAAAAAAAAAGAAAGAGGGAATAGAGACGAAAGGGGAGAGAGAATCTATGAGAGAGAAGAGAGAGGAAATTTTGTGAAAATGGTGATATACAACTTCTTTTAAGTAGTCGACTCAAATAGATACACTTGAAAGAAGAAGAACTGTTTACTGTATTAGAGAAGTAATACAGGTTCGAAGAGAAGAAAGAGAGAGAGAGAGAGAGAGAGAAGAAGAAGAAGAAGAGTGAAGAAAGGAGAAAAGAAAGAAGGGGCTCGGTAGTTAATAATCTGCCGCCCCATACACTTCTTTATTTATAGCTTTAGGTTCCTT